CCGAATGTCAGTAAACAAGTGTGCAAATATCCAGAGTTATTTAGAAAATCATTCAGAAAATTATTCAGAAAATCGTTTCATGATTCATTAATTTTATATTTATACAATATAATATATATATTATATGAAGAAAAAAGAATAAAGAAGATATTATTTATATAATATTCAATTTTTTACTTATCACTGAAACTGTATTCTTACTGTTTGTTGCTGCAAAATATTATATGCAATTATTATATTTTATGTAAGCACAGTGATAATTATTTTATTGATCACGATATTCAAAATTGATCTTAGACAGTAACTGAATAAGCCATGGTAGAACATGTACTGAGATCATTGAAGCCGGTGAAACTAAATTTACCTCAAGCCGGATGACAGAAAAAGACCACTGCAGGAATTATTTGAGCTCATTGTGTCGAATGACTGATCAAAAGAAAAACGTAATTAAGAAATTCTCCTGTAAGTATTACAGATATACAAGTGTTGCTATATTCACTTATCATTGCATATTTGACTTCATTTCAATACTATAAAAACATAAAGTTTAATTAGAAACTCATATTTTTTGTGAATATTGATTAAATCGAAGAAAGAGAATTTATTACTATTTAAATTTTGAAACTGATTTTTCGCAAATTAGTTTATTGTAACTTAATTATATTACACATTCTTAATTATAAATATTAATACGTCTTATGTATAATTATTTATTTCATATTAAAAAAATTATTTTAATTAAAATTTTGAAATATACTATTTTTAATGTATTCAGTATGATACTACCATGAAATGAAATTAAGGCTCTAGTAATTATTGTAACATTTTGATGATGAACAATCATATAACAATGTATTTAATTATTAGAAAGACAGAAAAATTTATAAATTTATATATATTACATATACAGAAAATATAATAAAATTTAAAATTGCTGAATGTATTCCAATCGTTTTTATAGTGTTAAAATGAGAGAACAAAGTCTGTTTTTTATTTCTGCAATAGATTGCAGTAGAACTTTTTTTCTTGGTTTCGCCAACATCAAATATATATCTCATTTTAAGTTCCAAAAGTGTACACTAATTCAATTACAGAAAACAGATCCCAAATTAAAAATTGGCTAATATCCAAATTTCATTTCTATCCTATGCAATATTTAGTATGTGTTACTTAACTTTTAGGCTCAGTTCCACTGATAATTTTAGTTAATTAGCTTTGGCAATGTTGCCATCGGTACCCTATATTACTAATCAGTATTTATAAAATGTACGTCTTTTATTTATATTTATTTATTTTAATGCAAATAATCGATAATTGCTGGATATCAAAAAAAGTATCTTCAACGGTAAATTCAAAAATTCTATTTTTGTTGTCCTTTATCTGAAAAAGATCTAGATTTTATTCTCAACTTTATTAATTAACATATACATTTAAGAGAGTAATTTTTCATTATTATTGCCTAAAGAAATCATATAGATTCATAACAAAAAAGCTAAGATTACTTGGTAGGACTTTTACAAAGCCAAAAGCTTACTTGGAAGAATGTTTATTGAACGTAATTAGTCCGCTGAAAATAGTAAATATATCAATATGTACATGCTGTTAAAGAAAATTTCTGTAAAAAGCATTTAGAAATCTATGAGTCATTGTCATCAAATCCCGTCAAGGGTTCTAGACAACTTGTAATTATGATATTGTAAATCTTGCTAATTCTCTTAATCAAGAAGCATTGTTCAAATAATTCTTTTTAAAAAATCTTTACATGTTATATATTTGCAAGAAATATTTAAATAAATTCTATTTTAAGTTATATTAACCCTCTCAAAGGAAATTGCGCCATGCAAATAAAATTATATAAATGTATATAATTATTTATTAATTATAATTTAACACTAAAGAGTTGTATTTGCTCACAATTAATTATTAATTATACTAATAATGTAAATTTCTAATATTAAATATACAATGATAATAAATGCATCAATGACGAAAAATATTAATCTGATTCTTCAGATTCCAAATTTATACGAGTTCCAAACTTCGCATACAATTGTGTTTTTAATTGAGACATGATTGTCTTTAAATCTGCACATTTGCCCTCTAATTTTGCAATTTCTTCTTTTTTCTTACTTTTAGCCTCTTCTAAAGAACTCTAAAAATGAAATTCTTGTTAATACTGATTGAATAATTATAATTAAAAAAAAACAATACCAATGAAAAAATAATTTATCACCTGTGTTTTCTCAAGGAAATGATAGATGAATACCTCTCCAATAAAGTATGGTATTTTTGCATCGTCATCCATAAGAGCTAGTTCGTCACAAGCATCCTCTAAATTCTTCAGTTCGTTCTGCCAATTGCAAATAATTAGTTAATGATAATAACAATAATCTTTATTGCACATTATTGATACTAATGTCCATAATATATGCAAAGTCTATGACTATATACAGTGACCATATTTTCTTAAAGAAAATAAACAAATCTAAAAATTTTAGAGCTTTGTTTTCAGATCAAGGACATTAAACATGTAACTTTTTTCCTAGGGTAGAAATGTGAAGTGAAAATTTGTGTATGTGTGTGTGTGTGTGTGTATGTGTGTGTGAGTATATATGTGTGTGTGTGTGTGTGTGTACTATATATTATATATATTATATAAAAATCTTCATTTTTTATGTTTCTACTCTCAGAAAAAATTACATGATTGATACCTGGTTTGTGATTTCAAGAATCTGTATTATTGTATGTATTATAAAATTTTATTGCATATATAATCAAATTGAGATAATGTACATTATTTTGATGGTTTGAAATTGATTTTATCTACTATATTGGACTATATTAGAACATATTGAAATATAAAGGACAAAATTGAAATTTGGAGAAATAAAAAATCTAAAGGACAGCTATCTAAAACAAAAAAGACTATCCTTTACAATAAAGAATGTATGGTCACTGTGTGCATGACCAAATAAGGTCAACAAAGTCTTAAGAAAAAATCGATATTGAATCCTTTTTAAACAGATTACCTGTTTTACTCTAAGTTCTTCCTTATAATCTTCCAACTTCGCATTTTGTCTAGCAAATTTGTTAATTTTTTGTTGTTCCTCATAAGTTATATGAACATCGGAATCCTTGCAAAATATAATGAAAGAGGTTAGATTGTAAATATGTGAAACAATATTGTTTCTTATTTTCTAATATTTTTTGTATTATTTTACCGGTTGAAATCCAGTCTGACTATTTTTCCCTCCCGCCATATTTATATTCTTCTATAATCAGTTTAATTGCATTAAATTGTTTAAATTATTTTTTGGGGGATTCAATTTTCGAAACCTTGTACCACGAGAAATAATAAGCGTCCATAACGCCATCTAGAATAATAAGCGTCCATAACGCCATCTTGTCAAACAACTATGAACAATATGATGACTTTTTATGTGTCGTAAAGGCCTATTTAACCATTATCAGAGAAAAATCTGAAAGAGGCCATACCAGCCTTTTTCCTGTTATCATCAAAATCATACGTACACTACCACCAGCACATCCATTTTCAGTTTGAGAATTTGTGAGATTACTACGTGACTACATTTTCTCATTATCGATAAAATCATATCGTTGAAAGTAGATGTGATTCATCTCTGTACTAAATTCTTAGGATAGAAGCGTGAGGATTTAGTGCAGAAACGAACCACTTTTGACAATACAATTTTATCAATAGAAAATGGATGTGATGACGGTTTCTCTCTGGTAGCAGTATTGTTATATTTTCTGTACTTAAAATACAGGAAAAAGATATATGAAAAAAATATCAAAAAAAAAGGAATAAAAAAGTATTAACTACTACAAAAAAGATTAACTACGAAGTTTTGTATAGTATATGCATTATGCATTAAAAAAAATCTTTTTGAAAATAATTAACATTTAGTGATTCATATAAATAACTTTTGTATCTTGCAATTTCATTTTATAAAAATGCAAAATAATTTAAAAATTGAGAAATTTTATATTTCTATTTGAAAATAAATAAACAAGATGATGGTCCACAAGAAACATCAAAACAAACATCACGTATGTATTCTATTGGATTGTCCGGAAAGTTCGTACTGATTTTGAAGAAAAATTAAACGCAGATTTAAATTTTAGCATACATTTATTATATTTAAATCTTTTAAGGCCCGAACTTTTTGGACAACTCAATACATATCACATTTATAAAATTTTTGTAATTGTTAAGATTTAATTCTTTTATTAATATTTATTAAATTAATTTATTAAATTAATATTAGAAATAAATAAAGAATGAAATAACAAATTCCTTTTAGAGATAATTATCTCTCATATAATTTGTTACAGTCTAATATAACAAAATTAATTAACATTTTTCCTGTTTTGAAATGTAAAATTTTGAATGCTGGAGTCCTCCTGAATCTGTGATCTTTTTGAAAATATAGAACTCTGCAGTTTGTTTTGTATAGCCCATTCTCTGGAAGGTTTTAATTTTCTAATTGGCACGTTCTTTAATGCCTCTTTCCAATCTCCCGTGTGCCTCAAATCTAATATTATTCTAATCGACTGATTGAGTGTAAGATTCTTTGACGAGCTGACACCCCAAGTGAGATACTGTTCTAAAGGAAATTTAGCCATCTGAATACCTTGTTTTTTAGCTTTTGCCAAAGATAATGGTTGTGAATTTCCCTGTAAATGAAAATCCAATTTAATAAATATTTATGCAATGAATGCATAGTGCATCTTATTACTAGTTTACCTTGTCTACCAATGCACCTATGATATAAACCATATTTGGATCATATTTAGTTAAATTTGTTCTACAGTGTGGAGTGAGATACACTAACTGATTTTTTGGAAATATATCTAAGTAACATTGTGATGTCATTATGAGAGGAAAATCATCTCGCATCAAAGTAGGTATATTTTGATGAAGATGTTGCTTGAGTAATCCATCTTTGTTAAAATTACAGAAATAAAGAGTGAGAGGATTGGCATGGGTGCGATTATGAGCAAATGAGAGAGCTAACTGCTTGCTGCAATTGTGTATCTCATGTTTAGTCATATGCTCTTCATAACCACAATCAAACACTAGCTTCGGTTCAAACATCATATTATAAATCAATCTACCATTGTAATAGTGGTTTATAGTTGTTTCATATATACGCAAGAATAGCGAATTATTCAAGAGACCATATTTCATTTCACCAGTATCCTTGGTCAATTCTTGCTTTTTAGCAAGCCATTCAGCTTTCTTTAATTCTTTCTTTTCCTTATCATTTTCTAATTTCATCTCATTAAGCCACAAAAACTTAAGGTATTTTCTGTACAAAGAAATATTTCGATTAAAATTAATTTAAGGTGAACTTCTAATAAATAAATAAATAGAAAATAAAACGCTGACTTTCTTGTTGATTTGGCCTGTGTATTCAGCAGACACAACCATTCTCCTGGTTTAATATTCTTGGGTACTCTTTCAGCATTGTGTCGCAAAACATCCACTTCTAATTCTAATATTTGAAAACGCTTATAATTCTCAGGATCGGACAGATGTTTATCCAGTTCCTGCTTATCCAACTTTTGCTTATGATATTTCAGTTCAGCGCTCGTTACATTTTTTTCATCGATCGCATCATGACAGTAAAATCGTTTGTAGACTGCATTATTGGAACATCGTGCATTCATATTCAAAAAATAAAATCCAGGCGACAAAATATCCACGTGAATTAATCGGGTTAACAATTTCTTATGAATCCTAACTGAGGCTATCAGGCATTTTTTCATGTTATTAAACATTCTGTAATATACATAAAGGTAGTTATTACAATTTCTTATAACAATAATTGTCACTTTGTGAATAAACTGCGAGAAGAAAATTCTAACCTACTTTCTAACTTATACACAGCGCTATCGAGTGCTGTTTAAACATAAAGTACGCTCGATGTAGATCAACGTAACATACATTCGAGTCGCTACATACATTCGAAATATTCTTTGATTGGCCGATTCGTAAAATTCTTTCTTCTGATTGGTTAACGGAGCATTTGTCAAATGGACCGCACCCTGGATATCGCACGCAATGTGAATTCACCATACTCTCTGATAGTCGAAAATCCACAGCACAAGCACAAGGCAAGAAAAAGAAAAGAAGTTTGTGCCGTTTGTGAGTGCTAGTAAGTGCTGCATATTAAACGTGTGCTGCGTGTGCCTCTAACAGTCTCTATTGGAATCGTTGGGAATCCGATAATCAAACGAAAGGTTGGTTTGGATTTATCACTTTATGTAAAACAAATAATTACAACATCACGAATGTATTATCGCAATACACTGTAGATATTAACAAAGTACAAATATCGTTCGGGATGCTCATTAAACATTGTAATTGGCATTCGTATGTATTCGGATAACGGCCTTCGAATACCTTCGACGAGTGGCAGGTTTCGCTTGAATTCCATGTCCTATCATTTTATTTTTTTTTCTTTTTTGAGCGAAATTTCACAATGGAAATAATTTTTAACTAACAGTCTACTCGAAAACAGTTATCAACAGACTTTATCGTTCCTTCGATTTTTTGGTATTCTCGCGATAATTTCTATTTTTAGTGTCTCGCGTCATACTAAGATGTAACGATAGGCAACTAGTTATTACATTACTTCATTATCTGATGATTTTTTTTGCGTCTTAAGTAATTATATAAATTGAAATACAAACGTCTAATGTGCTAATTTAGATTTATATACATTGTTTGATATATTAGCGCCTAGCAAGATCTTGTGTTACTAAATTAATAAAATATTAGAAGAATAAAAATTAATAGAAAATTTTGAATTTTATGCATAACATTATAAAATTTGATAATTGTATTTTTTCTGCCAGATTTTTTTCTTTTACTTTTTCAAAAGCATAATTTCGTTGATTTTTGTGATTAAGCCTGTCTCTAACACAACCATTATATTATCAAATTCTGATATTAATAGATAGAAGGAAACCATGCATAAGAATGGACCACCACCGCCTTATGAACCACCACCTTATGCACCACCTGCTTATTCTCAAAATGTAGGAGGCGTTCCTCCAGCTAGTCCATTTACACCAGCACAAACTTGTAAGTCAAAAAGACATTGAATTTATTAATATAATTGGCAAAATATTAATTACTTTTTCTGTTATCTTTTCTATTATCTTTACACTTGTTTTGTAGATGGAAACGGACCTACTATAGTCACGACTATTGTTCCAGTTGGGCCACAGTCGACTCATACAATTTGTCCACACTGCCATGCTGAAATAGATACGGTGACAAAAACTGAACCTGGCATGATCGCTTATATCTCAGGTGTTATTATAGCACTGTTGGGGTAATTATGAGTAATATTCAGATTATTCATGTTTATATAGATGTATACAATGTCTAATTATTTTTCTTTTATACTACATGTATATAATGTGTAATTATTTTCTTCTATATTAGATGTTGGTTTGGTTGCTGCTTGATTCCCTGTTGTATAGATGAATGTATGGATGTTCATCATACTTGTCCAAACTGTAAAGCTTATTTGGGTCGTCATAGAAGATAAATGGATTGCATTTGAATATTGAAATGTTTATGATACCACCAATTATATACTAAACTCGAATTTAACTTCATACATTTTAGGGGATACCTCTATATGAAAGAGAAAGAAAGATGTAGCTCCAATTAGATATCAGTTCATTCAATTCAGTTAAATCTAGTTAAATCTAGTTATCTAGAAATCAGTTAAATCTTTATAATGAAGAATGCATGTTTTTGATTCAAGTAATTTTATAGTTCTGTATAATTTTTTAATATATATATGTAGGGTATAAAATATTTCATTTTAATTCAGTACGGTACTATCTTATGAAAAGCATTTTTGAAAATAATATTTCAGACAAAAATTGTGTAAAGAGAAGAGAGGTAAATAATGGCAAAATCTATCTTTGAAAAAGTGATTTTTCAAAGTTATATTGAAGGTCATTGCCATTTTTAAAAAGTGGAATTGTATGATTTTTTTTACATAGTATTCTTCTAATTATTCTATATATAAAAGTATTAAAGTAGAGTTATTAAAAAATCTACCATTTTTTTACGAAATATTTTTGAAAATATTCGTAAAAAATTAATTTTTGTGAAAATAGATTTTATTTGTTGTCTTTCAGACCGTACAACTTTTATTCAGAAATTTTTTTCGACGTCAAACTTAGGAGATAAACTTATTTCCATTAAACTAGGACACCCTGTATATACCTACACATGTAATTTTATTGCGTACAATTTATGTGTATGTTATTTGTTATTTTTTGTACGGTTTTTAAAAATATTTTTCATGTTTTTACATGAAGCTAGTGAAAATATGGCGTTTTTAATAGCAAAAAGTATGTTTCAAAACATTTATATATAACTGTGTGAAGAAAAGAAGTGAGACAGACTTGTACTTCCATATTAATAGACAGAAGATTTATGCTTCCCATATTTATTTCCATAACATAACGTACTATAGCATTGATTTTTAAAGATTTATTATATTATTAATCACAATTTATGTCAGTTTTTGGAACAAATGTTATGTTTATTTAAAACAATGTTAAGATTGACCATGAAATTAATAGGCAGCAATATGTGCAGCTCATATCTTTATTCATTGAGGCATCCAACTCTATAAAATAATTAATGATATCATACATATTAATAAATTTTCTTTTATAAAGAATCTTTTTATAAAGAATTGGGTCATGGTCAAGTGAAGATTACTCGCAATAGTTTGTAATTCATTGAGGAGAAATGATTGATTTTACATTAACACCTTGATTTAAAAAATCTTAATTGATAAATCAGTCTTGTATATTCATATCATGAAAGTACAGATTATTAAGAGAAGATTTATGTATTGGTAGCTTATATCACAGAGAATAGATGGCAGCTGAAATATCATGTTTCGAATTTGGAAATTCAGAAATTTCATACTTGTTTAAAAAAAAAATTATACACGCGCGCGCGCGCACACACACACACACACACACACACACACACACACACACATATGAAATATTTAACTTTTAAATGTTACTAGCTTTTATATATAAAGCAATTGCAAGCATTACTTTGATCGAATATCTTATTGCGCACGAATAATGAATTTGTTTGCCGTTTGATAAAATGAATTCGATATTTAATTAGTCAAATTCGATACATGTATAAACGCAAATAAGTAAAAATAATCAATAATATGAGCTAATTACGATTAAAAAGATAAAATGCATACATTTCTCGACTATTAAGTCTTCCTCACCATAAGAAATGATTACACAGGAAAAGCATAAAATAGATTAAAATATAAATTTAAAAATTTTAAAAATGACAACATATAATATAATGACATTATAATAATTAAAAAAACATTATAATAATTGATAAATTAGAAATAAACACGAGAAATACAATGTCTATAAAAGATGATTAAGAAGTCCAAAATAATAGCAGTTACATAAAATAATTACGTATAAGATCGGAATCCGATCTACAGACAGATCTTGCTTATTTTTATTATTGTGTGCCTTAAATTAAATAAAACTTCCTGTGGCCTTATTACAAGATAATTTCTATTTGATAACGCAATTGTAAGATTTTTTTCAAAATGCGAATAAATTAATATTAATTTGCATATATATTTGATGTATCGCTTTATATATTTTATTTTTGATATAGCATGTAATATTTGCGATATTAAATGAAAAAAAAAATATTGTACAATTATAAATTGTTTAATATG